AGGGACAACTTAGAAGAGAAAGAGAGAGACAGAGAGAGAAAGAGAAAGAAAGAGAGAGAGAGAGAGAGAGAGAGAGAAAGGAAGGAAGGAAGGAAGGAAGAACGAGCCACTCTCATCAGGGCTGAGGCTGGCCATGACCTCCTGAGCATGGCTGAGCCTGGTTCTAGCTAGGTGCTGTGTTAGCAAAGCAGTGTGTCCCGCCCCTCCACCTCTGTGGAGAAGGTGCAGACTTAACTGTCACTAGAGGAAAGAGGCTGGCGTGTTAGCGTTGGCAGGAGAGCAATCACTGACTCCCAAGTGCAGCAAGACGGGCCCCTGCTTGCGACTGGGCCTGTGGCAGCCTGCTAGGGCTGCTTCCATCGAGCCATCGGCACCACTCTGTCCTTTTCCCACTTTTGCCCCATCCCACTTGCAGAGAACCCCGGGTCACACGGGAGACTGTTCTTACCTGCAGCTGCGGCTTTGCTAGGTGACTGGATGTTTTCCAGGGCACCTGCCATGCTATAAGGTTAGGGGTGCGGGACAGAAAAACTCTCTGGCAGCAAGAGGGCTCGCACGTGCAGCTGGGACTCTGCCCATCAGTCTAGAGAGAGCAGGAGTAACCTGTGTTGCAGGAGGAGGGGGAAGGGGGCATGGCTACCGGGCAAGTCACAAGGGCTAGTAACCACTTTGGGGGAAAGGAGAGAGGTTTCGAGGGTGGGGAAATGGTCTGGAGGGCAACTAGCTACATGCCTAGGATGAGACTGTTGCAGGGATCTGAAAGGGGGCAAACCAAAACCAGGGCAAAGTAGCAAAAGCATGAAGTGGGGGAAGGAAGGAGGAGACACAGAAAGCTGAGTGGCTGGGGTGCAGCGGCAAGGCGGGAGGTCAGATGCTGGGCAGAGGAGGGTGGTCTTACGTTTTCTTTTAATGCCAGTTCCTTTTTCTCTCTTTCTTTTGGTTGAAGGAAAGTGCTTCTGAATTAGTGATAGAAAGACGCCTCTGAAAGTAAGATGCAAAATTTATTCTAGCTACCAGGAATAGGAACAGCTGCTGGTTATACTGTATCAGCGTGTACCTGAGAGGGCGCTCTGTGCAAGCGGGAAAGGGGGTAAATCCAGCATTACCTCCCTGCAAGCGAGTCTGAGCCAGTACGCTTCAGATCTACGGGCTAACAGGGACTCGTGTGGAGAGGTTGAGGCTGTTTCACCAGAAGGCCCTGATGGGAAGCGACGTGAGATAGCTTGGGTTGCGGCCGCAAAGCTGCAGCCTTGGAACAGGGACTTTGGGTGAATGCCACACATGCAATACAAGGGGCAACGCTCTCTCTCTTAGATTTCCACCTGCTTCTACCAGACCTGGGAGCAAAACTGTTCTGGGAAACTACAGCAACATAAGCACAGACGACCACGGGTGTGGTGCTGCCACGTGACACACCAAAGCTATCAGATCTTTATATAGCAGGTCTGAAGTGGGACACTCTAGATTTAGAAGCTGTTACATCAGGAGTGAAAAATCTGGTAAGTCCCGACATTCCCAAAGATCTCAGCATTTTGCACAGCCTAATGTGTCCACTGCCCTGCCAGGTACTGGGCTTGCCAGAAATGGCACAGGAGGTCAGCTTGCTTGTCTCTGACAAACACACTCTTCTGAGCCTAACTGGGAATTGCTGCGCCCCCAAGTAAAGGACACTGATATGCAAACATGGGCTATGTAGTGGGTCTCAGTGAATGGGGAGAAGGAAAAAAAAATCAGAAGAGGTGAAATCAAAAGGATGTGTCTGTGGGCTGTTTTGCAAATAAGAGATTATGCTTTGATGCTGACTGCACAGGGAGGGGGTCAAGCCCCGGGGACGGTGGATGAGCCTTTAATGAGCTCTGGCTGAAACAAATGCTGAAAGCAAAAGTGGTGAGGCATGGATGTGATACTTGCCCACTGTGAGACAGAGGGAACCAGGGCAGGGGGTAAAGCCAGACCAATCCACTTAGACTGCCTGGAGGTGTGCAGGGAGAGAGATCTCATACTATTCCCTTGAGGGGACAGAGCACAGGGCCTGAGGCTCCACTGGGTCTGAATTGCTTTTGAAAATGGATTGAGTTCACTTAGGCAGTTGTGAGAACGTGGCTGACCCTGTGCTGAATACAGTGAGCTATCCTAGTCACAAAGAAAGGAACACGCATCAGTCCAACCCATGCTAGCACTTTCCAGGGATAAGGCACGGAGACACCATCTGCTGCTTTGTACCGATGTCGAAAGGTGATCGTTTGGAATCCCAACTTTGCAGCAGGACAGTAAGTCTGATCGTACTGTCCCACGTCAAGATATCTGTAGGGTCTTAAAACCCCTCACCAAATAGGGCTGTGTTGCTCATTGGTTTTTAATACTGTAAGCTTAAAAATACCCTGCGGTATCTCGGTGTTGAGGGCCATGTTACCCAGATAAGTTCAACGAAATACCCAGCAAAAATCAAAGGCATGTCTCTCTCTCCCTCTCTCTCTTTCACCCCCCTGCCCAGGTACACAACCCAGGCAGCTGCACATATGGCTCTTCTGGGTGCACGAGAAGCTTGGGCCTGGGAAATGCAGCATCTTGAATGCCCCAGGGAACCCTTTTCGGGGCTCGAGGTGGAAGGCAATGCCTGTGCAGAACTGCAGTACATGAGCCACCCTGGCAGTGAGCCCACCATGCTAAAGCCTTCCCACTTTCCCTCCTCAGCCCCGAGAGCACAAGGATCTGGACTCACTCTGCAGCAGAGACAAAGCAGTTTAGGTGCCCGTCGTTCTCGTCCAAGACTTCCCTGGTGCGCGCTTCGCCGGTGGACTGCAGCCCAATGACGATGCACTGGGGAAAGAGGCAAAGGGCAGCACAGCCCTGTGTTAGCAAACTGGTGTCATGCTACACTGTAAGCCAGCCCTCGCAGCCTGCCAGTATTAGCAGGCAGCACTATTTTTCCTTCCTGATAAGAAACTCGCCGATTGCTCTACGTTGTTCCTGCCTGAAATTTCTCAGTTCCAAGGGACTGCAAGTTCAAGACACGCCAGAGCTGAAAAATTGGGTATATCTGTCAGCTCTAAGTCAACTCAAAGCATTCTTCCAAAAGCGTGGCATCAGGTTTGCTGTAAAACAGTGCTAAGGACGATCCTGCATTCATCCTGAACGGCTGGAAATGAAACCCCTGAAGACCTGATTTCACCAACAAGTGCTAGATACCTTCAAGTCATCGATACCCTAAGCAACATGTGGCCTCTTCATTGGGAACAATCATGGATTAACTTCTGTGAAAAAACCTTTCTTCCCCACTATCCCACCCAGGTGACAGAGAAGTATTTACTAAGCAATGCGTGGCTGGGCTTCAGTATGCAACAGGTTTATGCTGGGGGAAGACCAGTGGCATGAAAGATGAGACAATGCTCATTCACCTCAGTATGACACAGTTCTCAAGCAACATAGAGAGGGGCCGTCAGCAGGGCTGTGGGACTTAGACTGTGTGTGTTATCTGGAACCAGGCAACCCTGTTTGGCTCCAGTGATCCTTGTAAACATCTCAGTGATGTCAAAAGGCTTCACCATCATCTTCCAGCCATGCTGCAAGAACAGTCAGCTTCCCTGCTACAGAACAGCATCTGTGAGACCTCCCTTGAATGCCCACCTCCTGCCAGGAGATGTGCTTACTGAACCTCCACAGCTGGGCTCAAGTGCCATACCTTGTCCTTTGCCAGCTCCTCTTTGGCGAGCTCAACAAGGCGCCGGACTTTAGCAGCGATACAGAGATACTTGAAGAAACGCTGGTGAGCAGACCAGAACTGACCCCACAAGGACTTCCGAGACTCCAGGCCAATCCAGTCGGCAGCCTGCTGGAACACCATCAATGCCTCTGCCCACTGGAAGCATCGACAAGAGATGCAGGTCAGTAACACATTTGTGTCATGGATATTAACACTGCTGGGATGTCACAACTGTTGTCACGGCCCTCTGGAGAGAGCTGAGGGATGGTGGGGACCCGGCTCACCAGCTGTGCTGCTTTGTTGTAGACAAGCTTGTACTGCTGATCCAGCGGGATTTCCTCTATCCTGAAAGTGACTCCAGAGAAACTGAGCTGCCTGGCAATGTACATTCCACTCACTTTCATGTCCATCGCCACGATTTCCATTGCACCAACGCCCCTGAGGAGGAAAGATGGATGCAGGCCATTAGGGAAATCCCTTTGCTCTGAACAGCAGCAATGAGGAGCAGGCCCAGCTGGAGAACTAAGGCCTGAGGCTAGGGTTTGGCATTTCCATCAAGTTCTCTTTGGGCAGTAACAAACCCTGCCTCGTTGTCCCTACACTGCAGGCCCCATTCCACATTTCCTGGGTGAGCAAATCTCTTCACCTCTTTCTCTCTAAGCCCAGTGGAGCTGATGGTGAAACCAAAATGAGAGGCGAGGCTGTCTGACCAGCGGGAACTGCAACAGCCTCATCTTCTCCCCTGCTCCTCCAGAAGAGCTCTAGCACAAGCCATGTCTGCTCTTATTCTGAACAGACACTGGCAGCTGCCTTCATTTAACACTCATTGCTAAGGAGGACACAGTGTTCTGCTCCATCATTGACAGGACAGCTCAGTACTTAATAGCCAAACAGATGGGGAGCCGGGAAGGAAGGAAAAGGGCACAGCCAGGGAACTAGTGGCAAAGAGCAGTGCCGCCAAGCAATGGGTTTCTTCCTGACCCAAACCAAAGCCAGGACTGGTAGAAGAAAAGCCACGTAGGACTCCCAGGACCTACCTCTTTTCAATTGCATGCAGGAACTCATCAAACGAACGGAAGGGGGTGCCCTCTCCCCAGATCCCCAGGCGGCTCATGTATATCATGTTTTTTGGCTCGGAGGCACCTGTTTGCAAGGAACGCACTGTTAGCAAACCACAGCAGCTGCACATAGCTTCGCCCTAGGCAGGCCTCGAGTGAGCCAGCCCTTTTGAAAGCTCACAATAAATTCTGACTGCATTTTCCAACAAGGAGTTACTTTTCTTGCTTCTGTGGGCCCTTTCAGAGAGCTTTGCAAAACCCTGCCCTCATTGTATGCTGGCAGGGAAGCAGTGCTATACAGACTGACCAGCCAGCAGGCAAGGGGTTAAGAGGACTTGCCCAAAGGTCACAAGACGAGTTGCCCAGCTAGGAAGAAAGCCACGAGTCCTGACTTGCAAGTCCCCTGCATTAAAGGATGGTCACATGCGGTGCATGTGACTGTATTTTTTCAGCCAACACCTTATTAGCTGACTGGAACTAGGGAATCCCCCAGCACAGACTCTTACCTGTGGCACTGGCATAGACGACCCTGGATAGAGGCAGTTTGTTTTGAAGGTCCAACACTGCTTTGCCAATTTTAGTGGAACTAGCATTTTTGGCTTTGTGGCATTCATCGAATACGATCTACGGGGGAATGTCAGTTAAGGAGAACGAGGTGCATGGTATTTATTGAGGGAAGAGAAGGAAATCCCAAGCCAGCTGCCTCCAGCATAGCTGAATCCCCTTCAAGCTGAATCCCACCCACCCAGAACCTCTCACTCCAGGCTCCCTGGGCCCCCTGCTCCTCAAAGGCTGCAGCAATTCTCCACCCTTCCTCTGTTGTTCCCTATTGAATTAGGTCCCATTGTCACGCAGAGGGGAAGAATGCTGAAAATATTAGTCACATATCCACCCAGCCTCTATTCCCACAGATGGCTCTAACGGGAAGATTTTCAAATGGGATTGAAGGGACCCGGTAGCACAAATGCCAGCCACTTGCCCGAAAAAGTCACATGGGGCATTTTCAAAATCCCATTTCATGACCAGAATGAGCTCACTCATCTGGGACAGCTGATACCAGTGGCTTTACTGAGCTCAGCTCCCTGGAGACAGATATCGGTTATCTTTCTAGGATACAACTCCGTCGAAGTTCTCCCCGCACCAGTCCATAATCTGCTTTAATCGTGTTCTGTGCTGTCCGCCCGCTTGGCTTTCACCGATCAAAGCAGGGTAAGTGGCAAATAGGACTCCCTCTGAGGTAGCTGTGTCACCGTATTTAATCTATAGGGAAAGGGTAAGAAAAGACCAGGCACTCAGAATGCTTATGTATAGCACATTTCACTTCATCGCCTGCCTGAAACCAAAACAGCTCGGAAGACGGCAGATACAGGGCGTATGCAACACGCTGTGTTGCATATAAGGAGCGTTATACTCATATTGTGCAACCAGTATGGGAAGAAGAGACATGAAGGCTCACTAATAACAAACTTCTTTAAGGCTTGTATTTGGCACAGAGGTTTCATGATGACAGAGACCTTTAGCACTTAGATGTCTGTCTCTCACTGTCAGCGTGCTGGCACATCTGGATCTATTTAATGAACACAGAATCCTGACTTGGAGGCAAGTACTTGGCTGGCTGGAGTCACTTATTTCTTTTTTTAAGCAACAGCTTTGCACGTTATAATTAAAAGCCTCTCCCCGCTGGTTGTTTACCTCCTTGCAGAAGATGGCTTCCTGTTTATTGTACAATATCGTTACGGTTCAACTGTACCTGACTTCATTGTACAAAGGAAAAACAAAGCATACAATGAGTTGCAGAAAATGCCATTCAAAGCCCTCTTGGTTTTAAGGGCAAACAGCTGTTTCAGTCCACGGAAGGCCTGATTTCAGAGATGCTGAACACATGCAGTTCCCATGGACTTTGGTGGGAATTGTGGATGCTCAACAGCACGCCTAGTGAAATGGTAGGCGTTTCGGTGAGCTAGGCAGGAGCTAGACACGCACAAGAAAAACTTTAAACAACTGCTATTGAGTACAGGAAGATTCCTCTGGAAGGAACTGCAATGCAGTGCTAACATCTGCTTAGCACTGCAAGTGAGGAAGTCAGGCAGGCACAGACTCGCTCGAGTGACCTTAAAGGGGATGCATGTTCAGAACCCGTTGTGTTGGGTTTTTGCCAGGCCCAGCATCAGGAGTTCATGGATATATCTCCCCCCTCAGGTCCTGTTACTAACAGGAACAGAAAAAGGGACCCTGAGGAACATGCACATTTAGGCCACTTCACACCATGCCTCTGAATGAGCAGGTCTTGCTGCTGTAGTATGTGCAACACTTGCACACACACTCTAGGAAAAACTAGCATGCTGTGTGACCCTGCCCCAAGACGCCTTTTACTTTTGCAGAAATCAAAGGACCTGCAGTTACTACGGATGTGTAGTGCAACTGGGAAACGAGTCTGTGCAACTCCACTAACAGAGCCCAGACCAGAAAGAACACACTGCAATGAGGATAACCACCCCCCAGGCTGCCAACTGCTCCTCTCTCCCCTGAACATGCCACAAGGCTGGGATACACACGCTGCATAACCTGCTGGGAAAGATGCTGCCTATCAACCGCGCCTGGACGGCAGCCTTGGAATCCCCTCCTTACCTTGTTTAAAGCATGCACCGGAATGTTGGGGGCATTAATGTCCTTCAGGTCTCTCTCTGCATCGTACTTGAGATCGTTGGAGACACTGAACCTACAGGAAAGCACGGATCTGGTTATCTGGTGAAGGAGACAGCACGTTGGGGCAGATTCAATGAAGTGCAGCGACTAGATGCTGCAGGTGGAGCAAAACCAGTCACTTCTCAGGCTCCCTACACTCCGGTGCAATATCTGACAGCAGCCTCAAGCCCTGAGCAGGACTTGCCTGGAGCATTGTGCAATGTTTCTGCAACAAATACCCATCAACTCAGCCTGTGAAATCTATGGGTAGCTCCCACTGGCGTCGATGAGAGCAGGAGTTTAGACTCCCCTCTGCACATACATGATCTGCCACTTCAAAGTGCTGTATTAACAATAATTCATCCTCCCATCACCCCTGCAGGGCAAACAGGCCCATTGCAGAGACAGGCAAATGGGTCCTGAGAGGTAGAAATGATTCACCCAAGGCCATGGAGTGAGTCAGCTCCAGAGCCCGCATCTGCCTTTGGGAATGCCTGACATGTTAGTTCTCAGAGGACACTTACCACAGGGACTTCTTCCTCCCCTTCAGATAATTTTCAAAGATGATCCCGGCAACTGTTCTGCCCTTTCCGACTCCAGCCCCATCCCCGATGAGAAATCCAGCTCGCTGCCCGTTGGGTAATAAAACTTCATGTTGCTGCAAAGTCCAAACCACAGTTGGGAGTTACCACAGACCCACCCTTTGCTGCCATCTCTCACATGTGGTGTCAGAGCACCCCAATCTGCCACCAGTGACCAACCCCAGCTTGCTGGTAGCAGGGGGCTCCACACAGGTAAAGGGATGCGCACAAAGCTGAGCGACTGGGCACAAGTCGGATAGGATACAGGGGCCAAGACAGAAAGCCTGAGCCCCACCAGGTCCCAGGAGCTGAGAATTCAGTCTCTTTGAACTCAAGCTCCGTCAGCTCTGCTTTTCCTGGCACCCACTGTTAGACAACACTCACTTAATGGCATCTAAAATCTGCACTGGGCTCCAATGCTCCCAGGCTGCTGTATTTTCTGCTTATAACCATCGTGCTCCTGAAAGCTCTGGTTTCATTTCATTCCAGAGTGCGGGGAAGCCGGCCTACCTGGCAAGCATACACAATTGCCTCCAGCTGTAGTGCAGAGAGGGACCCATCTTCGGCAACTGAGCTCGGAAGGGAAAGGGCGTAGGTGATGTCAGGCGGGGGGACACTGGACAGCGTGCTCGTCTCCACCACCCGGTCGGGGTGGTGTTTCCCGAGCTTGGCTAGAAGGAAGGACATGAGAAACTGTCACCAAACAAACCTGCTGTGCTTGGCCACAGCATTTCACCCACAGACCCCAAGGCACTTCACTGAAAGCCCGAGGCCTCCCAGAACCGTGGCAGGCTTGCTATCATCCTCGTGTTTTTACTGGGAAAGCTGAGGGTGGCTGAGTGACTGGCCCAAAACCACAGTGAGATAGCAGCAGAAGAGCTGGGAACTGAGAGGGCAGGACTATGCTTCTAATCACTGCTTCTACTTCAGGAATTTTTGGGAAAATCCAACATGATGCTGCCTTTCCCTCTGGAGATGGCCTGGGCTGCTGAGTCACCCCCTGAATTAGCCAACAGCCCTGCCTGCTGCTAAAACAGGGAACAGAAAGCAGAGCAGCATCTGAACAGGCCTGTGAAGCCCACATCCAAAGATGTGCATAGGAGAGGTAGCAATGCAAACCCTGCTCCCCTGCCTGCCGGACACAGAAGTAGCAGCACCGACCCCAGATCCCCACACCTAGAGAGAGCACGGCATAGGACAAGGCAGTGCTGGGACTCACACTTCGAAGGGACGTAATCCGCGTAGGTCTCCGTGTGCCCCAGCTCCTCTGCTTCTTCCTCTTCCCCTTCGTCATCCTCCTCCGCCTGAGTCTGCGACTGAAGGTAAACACAACATGAATCAAATACACGTGCAGCATTGAGTACAAGCCAAAGACCCTCACATTTAAATCACCCAGCACTGGGGCATACCCCTCAGCCTTCCCCTCCTCTCCTTACAGAACGCAGCAGAGCAATAGTGGAGCCTGTCAGAATCCAACAGTTTGCTGGAAGCCACCTTCAGAGGCCAGGCCAGACTGTATTGTTCTGAACAGGTCTTCAGCTGGCCAGCGTGAGCAGAGCCCACCTGTATGCTGACCTCTGCTACACAGGCTCAGACACAGCACAGCACCATCCACGCTAGGGAGCGAGATCTGATTCATTTTAGCCAAAACGGCCTCTCGATGCTGCTCATTCACCAATCCCCAGATCCCAGATTTCCTGTTTCAGGTTCTAACATTACGGTAAAAGCCTTGTACCCAAACCTGCAGCAGCAGATGCTCATTCTCACCTGATAGCTTACGAGGAGCGGGGTGTTCGGGACAGCAGGAACTTGGTCACTCAAGCTGTCTAAGCCCACGAATGGTCTGCCAGGAGAGTACAGCTGGAACAGAACACACAGAGGTGAGAACGCAGCCTGGCTTCTCTGCCATCCAAACCCAAGCAGGACAGATCGGAGACGAGCACAAAACTGTGACACCTCTGAGGATTCACTTCTGCCCTGTGCTGATACACCTGCCTGACAGGGGGAATTCAGTGTTTGCAAAGGTGCTGGAGTGACAAGGCCCGGGGCCTAAGATCCTTCAGATGCCCTGCAGGCAATTGTGGAGCTGTTTGACAAGAACCTATTGGAAAGTGAGCTCAGATGAACACCTACCTACCAACAGAACATGGGACTGTTTGTGCCGCCACAGTGTACACCTGTGGGTGCACTTCCTTCCCGAGTGTGGGCATGCCTGCTCGCTGGGACTTCACTCTCCAGCAGAGGCATGATAACAGCACTCGAGTTAAAACCAAACCTCCTCACTTTGGCTTGCAAGCCAAGAACACTGCACTCATTGTCTCGCCCCAGACGCACAGCATTTATCTGCCTGATTTCCAGTAATGGTAATGAATTGCTTGCACACATCCTGCCACTCTCAGAGCGCTTCTAACTCTGGTAGGTCAATGGTCCCTTTCAACACCTGATCAAAGCGATCGGGGGCACAATGGGTTTTCACTGCACTGGGAACAATTAAGACTAGCTGGTCTTCACGAACTGAGTGCTGTTTCCTCATCTCTCCCCAAAGCAGCTCTGTAGAAAACTAGTGCTCAGCCCCCCAGACAAGTTTAAGACTTTAATGGGATGCTGGTGGCTTCCCTAGTGTTACCGGTACAGTGGGATCAGCAGTTTCATGCTGCGCTGCGGCACTTGACCAGGAATTCTGCAGCAAGTCATTCAGCGGAAAAGAAAGAGCACAGGTTTGAGGCCGCAGGAGGAGACCCCAGCAAAATCATCACAGGGGAGGGACTGAATATTAATGAAAGAACACATATTTCACAGCCTTGCAACAGATTGCCTTGAAGGCAAGTGGTTCCACCTAACCAAACCTAACATACCATTTTGAAAAGCACCCTTTTCACAGTGGCAATAAAAGGATGGACTGTGCAGTGATGCTGAAGGCGAAGCCCTCTGGGCTGTGCTGGGTGCAGGAGCACTCTGCTTAGCACAACAGGCAGTGACACTGCCCGGGACTGAATGCACATAAGCAACATTCAGGTTCAGGCAAACTACTACAGGGGTCCTAGCTAGGCAGTAAGAGGCGCACAGACTCCTGTCGGCCACTGCTACTGGGAGCCTGGTCCAACGGGATTGTAGGGATGGGCTGGATATCTCTGGATGAGAAGTGCCGTGTCAGAGCTAATTATCGTTACAGCATGTATCCAGCCCCGACACCACAACCAGTTAAGAGGGTTCCTGAGACGCTCCTGTTGGGAGACACAGTTGAGGAGATCCTTGGTCTGGGGCTCCGCACAATCAACAGGACACTGGAATTGCCTACAGAGAGGCTACGGTCAAGCTAGCAAAGCCCCGAGTCCAAAAGTAATCAACGACTGCACGAGCGGCGTGATTTCAGTTGAACACTTGAGAAGGCTGCCAGGCCTACAGAGAGAGGTCTGCTCCAAAGACAGAAGTGAAAGATGGGAAGCCCACAGACACAACCACATGGCTATTATTTCCTCCTCTTTTTTTTTTTCAGCCATCCCCAATTACTGGAAGCCTGAGTCAGAATTACGAGAAGGAAGCTGGACAGAAGACTTATTTTCAGCGCCAGCAGATCTGGACAGCAGGTGAAATGTCTCCACCTCAAATCTGAACTCAATACAAGCGTTTCTATTCAATACAAGCGTTTTTATTCAGGCCCAGCTCTTGGAGGGCGCATGAGACTGAGCTTGAGAAGAAGTATCCTTCACTGAAAAGAGAATCCAGGTCGTTCTTTGATTCACGGCTGTGATGTACTAGCACGGCTGACGAGGAGGCTCTTGCATGCACCTCTCACACCCCTGGCCCCTCAACTCAGTGTCTTGCAGGGATTCATGAAAAACTATCTGGGCAACGCATGAGAAAACAGATCCTTGGGAATAACCCTGCTGTGGCCAGGAGCTGGACTGGATGATAAACTCCAACTCTAATTCAAACACTTCCTTCCCTTCTCTATTCCTGTCTGATGGCTAATTCACTCCTCTCCTTAGCTTGCATTACACGTGACATATTACCTTATTGCCTCGGACACACTCCAAGCACAGGAACTTCACAGGAAGGAAAGCAGAACCAAGCGCAGGCAGCACACTGCAAGATCAAACCTTGATTTTACTTGCATTGTGCCCCTCTTTGCCTTCATTTCTTTTCTTTTTTTTGTGCCCATCTCACTAACACCGCATGGAAAAAGGAAAATGTCCAACTAAGATGACAAGTTGGCACTTCCTATATAAAAATCATTCGCAGCCTGCTGGGAAGTGGGGTTTCAACTTGAAAAAAAAAGTGCCTCAAATGATTTATGCTAATAAAATTCATTGATAGGTCCAGAAACTCCCAGCTGCAGGCTTGCAAAGTGTTTGCCCCCGACTTCTTTCATTTCAGACGCGCTGGGGTTCTTTGGAGATGGCCACAAGAAAACAGACTAAGCTGCAATAAGTATTTTTAATGGATATTTCGCAATGGCATTTCGAATTATGCAAGCCCTGTTTTGTCAGCTGAATACCTAAATGATTGCTGGATGGTTTTCTTTCCTGTTATCCCTGTTCCTGAAATGACAACAGGGAACTCGCATGCTATAAACATCTTCCCTCTCTTCGAGTTTTGACAGAGAGAGGAGGGGCAAAGAAGTACGTCAGGGTTCTGGCTATTCCCTCTCCAAGGGTTTTGTCACGCACTTTTCTCCAGAGGCTGTCAGTCTGGTTTAGGGAATAGGGGCCTGCTTGCGAAGCTGAAATGTGTAAAAGCGTGGAAACGAATTGTGAAATTTTTCCTACGTTTTCTCCTTCCTACGCAAAGCAAAGCCATGCCGCTAAGAGCAGTAACGATGGAAGGATAGCAAGTATAACATTGAAATAAGGAAATCTTTTTTCATATAATCTATAGTGGAACTTGCTGTCCCCTGCTACCATTACCAAATGCGTGGATGCTTATCTTGCTGGCGTGGTCTGACCCCAGCTGACTTCCTGCCCCATGGGCAGGGGGGCTGGACCCGATGATCTCGCGAGGTCCCTTCCAGCCCTAATGTCTATGAAAACTATGAATTATGGCAGAGAGCTCAGTACGATTTTAAAGAGGAATAAACTTAAGGAGACCTTGCCTTGTGTGACTAGTGCGAGAAAGGTCAAAGTCTTACGCTTATGCCCTAAGCTAAATGCACGCTGATCGTTTAAGGTATTTCTCCACGGGACGAGAATTTCAGAACTGTCTGTTACAGCTTTTCCTGCCTCTTCCTCTGCAGCACCTAGTACCAGCTGCTGTCAGAGATAAGAGGGGGACCAGAAGGGGCTGTGAGGCAATTGCTCTCAGCAGGGGTGCTCAGCACAGGATGCATCAGTTTTTATAGAAAAATTTCCCAAGTTTACACGTCACTGCTGAAGGGCTGTTGGATAAACGGTGCTGACAGCTCTGAGGTTACAGACTACGACATCTTCAAGTGTTCTTGTACAATAATGTTTCCTGGCACATGTTAATTCCCATGGAAACAGCTGTCTAACCATACAAAAAACAGTGACATTCCTGTAACAGAACGGATTAGGATGACGTCAGGCTGAGTTATTCCTGATATCACCCAGCTAATAGCTCACTTTACCACCGCAGCGCCAAAGCAATGTCGTGACTGTCCAAAAGTCATGGAATATTAGCACTGCTGGGAGAAGATGATCTGGGCAGATCTCACTCGCGCTGCTGGTACCTTGCAGCAACACACAAGCAGAGTCACCACCCCATGTTAAGATGCCCTGCATGTTAAGACAATCTTTTGCTCCTACCCTGTCTCAAAGCTTCCCAACAGAGCGCTCTGGGGATCTTTGCTTTCTTTAATATAAAGAAAACCATGTTATGAAAAAGCAGGTAATAAAACTGTATTACTCAATGCACTCTCAGGTGAGCCACTGCAATATCACAGCCGCCCATGGAAAAAAAGAAACTGAAATTTCAAGGTTGCAGGCGTTAAACTCATCTGCCTCATCAGGAAATGCTGATAACAAAAACTTGAATTCACAGAGTGCAATGCAGAGACCATGTTCAAAATAAGCACTTCTTGTTCCCAAAAGGAAGTCATTTATAAATGGAATTTCATGGATGGAGCTGGCCTGGTTTGAACCCAATCGGTTTGCAAGAAGGGAAGGGCAGTGGGTGAGGTGACAAACAACACCATGCAATGCTAAGGCTAGCAGAAGCTCTTGTTTTATTGTACTAACGTGAACTGGTTTCCCGTGCCGCGTTACCCAGTTCTCTCTCCCTTTTTTGCTGCTGGATTTAAAAGAGGATTTAACTTGGAGGCGAAGTTCATTTTTACACGGAAACCTAAATCACTGTAAAGAAAGAACGGATATAATAAGGCGCTGGCAACTCCACTGCTTTCATGGCGTGAAGTTGTGTCCCGGTTTTCCAAGGGGCTGTGACCCTTGCATCTCTGTAGTTCAAACACCTCGTGCCTTTTCCTTCCCCTCAGATATCTTGAGTTCCAAATTCAAACTCCAAGTTATCAACCACTGTACCTAAATGGCCTCATAACCACAGTATCCTAGTGGCTTACAACCATGCTGAGAGGCAGGACAATGCTGTTATTCCTCATTCCACAGGAAGGGATACAGAGACCAAGACAGACTCAGGTGTTATGCGCCTAAGACTCACTGATCTGGAGCAACGCCCAGGTGCCTGAATACTTTGGAGGAACTGGGTCTGAGTGATGTGCCTGAGGTCTTCCAAAAAGTGTGTGGCAGAGCAAAGAGCCCAATTCAAGTCCCAAGCTGGCTCAATGTGAAGTTACAAAGCAACAGCCAAAGATCACTACTAGATCCTCTTACTGCTGAGCTGCAACAAGCACCCATCTTTCCACCGTGACTATTTACAGCAGTATGTACACAGATGTGAAGCTGTCGGTGACTAACAGAGAACTGCTCTCACAAAGACCCTCCTAAGGGAGCCAAAACAAAGTGCAGCATCTGAAAATGCCATTCAACCTTCATAGGCAGGCAACGTTCTTTGGTTAGCTGTGGTATCTTTTATTAGACCAGCTAAATAGTTGGAAAAAATGTTCTCTGCAAGTTTTTGGGCACAACCCCCTTCTTCAGGCATAGGGACTCTGCTGTTGCTATGTGTTCTCCAGGGAGAAGCAGTCTCCCAATGCCTAAAGAAGGGCGTTTGTACCCAAAAGCTTTCAAAGAACTTTTTTCCCCACTATTTAGTTGGCCTAATACAAGATGTCGCATCTACCCAAAGAACCTTGCCTGCCTATGTCCTTAGACCAACACAGCTACAACCAACAACCCCACCCAACCTTTATGTGAGATTGCTATCCAGAGGCTCCACACGTTGCTTCCCAGACAGGACTGATTAAAGCTTTCCAGAGTAATCTCTGTCAGTGATCCAAGGACAACAGCCAGCCAGGAAACAAAGGATGAGTGTATGGTGGGAGGGGGCACCCCGATGAAAACAACCCTAGGGTTTTGGCACAACTCTATACTCTGGAAAACTCACTGGCCATGGCTGCTCTATGATAAAGGAGTAGCATTAAGCAAATGCAGGGGGAGAGGAGGTGCAGAGCTGGACACAAGTATGCTAGTATGTATCCACATGACAAACGCAGGGAGCACATGAGGGCTGCTCCAAAACTGCCAAGGGTTTGGATTTGGCTGCTGTTATAAAAGAAGAAATATTTGAAATGGAAAACAAACATGCGACGGATGCAGCTAGCAGCATGGCTCAACCATGGAGCTAGCAGGCTTCTAGGGAACACAACAGCCCAACAGCCCGCTGCAGTCAGCCACTGCATGGACACCTAAATGCTGCCTGTTTTGGGTGTGCATCTCCACTGTGATGATGAGTGTCCCTACCTTGGACACCTTTGGCCGGGGTGTTATGACCCCAGCACTTGTTCCTGCCAAGGGCAGGGAGTCAGATCTGATGATCTGTTTAGGTCCCTTCCAACCCTAAGCACCATGAAACTATGAAACTACCTCACCGTGCCCCTGGGAGGATTAGCTATCACTCGTGCAGCACTTTGCAAGGTTGCATTGCTAGCACATCTTGGCTCTCCGCTCCTTCAATGGCCTGCAGCAACGTTATTTTGAGGAAGAGCTCTTTGAAAATACAACAGAGTGGGTCATGAGCTGAGATATGTAAAACCTCACCCCACCCAAGCTGAGTCAACCTTACTGGAAGCAGCACTCCCTCTGGGTCTGATGAAAGGGCGGTGTCACCACCGACAGGTACCAGAGCTGACTTCCTCATCCCCTTGGCAGGTCTTTGCTAAGGACTGAAAGATCTTGTCATGGCTGAGTGAGGAGGAAGGCATGGGGCACTGCCACTTACCTCTATTTGGTTCTGTGGCGTTGTGTTAACATCCCATAGCGTTGGCACTTGGTTCAGGCTGTCAGCAGGCAGGAAATCCTTAGAATCAGCGATGCTGGAGAGGGAGTCCGCGGGGGAGGAGAAGATGGAGTCATCGATGTAAGTGTCCTGAAATGAAGGAGACACCTAAGTTACAGGAGAGGGTAGGAGGCAGCCTCCAGGCCTTTTCACAAAGGGAAAGCTTTTATTTCCACCTATTCAACGCACAGCTCTTCTGCACCCAGCGCCAGGATGCTCAGACATTTACAGTTAAGCAAGTCAACTGTTACTCAGCGAGTTGCCCAAAAGCTGCTATCACAGCTTCTTGACCCAAGGGGAGTAAGCACCAACTAGGCAGACATGCCTAGGCCAGTGCAATAGGCAAGAGCCAGATTAAGACTCTTTAAACACAGTTTTAGTTTCCAGCCCTGTGGGTGCAGGCCAGAGGCAGGCTCAGACAACAGGACGACGTGTTCCCCTGATGCCACGTTTCAGTTAACAATCAGTGAGCGCTGCAACAGCAGCCCAAAGACTCCAGTGCTCAATCTGACCACAATGCACAGACGGTACTAATAATCCCCACGACGCCTCCCAGCCATTTGTATTTATATAACAATGGACACAGCCAAGATAAAGACTCTTGCCAGGTGCTGCACAAACACAATGCAAAGGACCGTGCCTGCCCCAAACAACTCTCTGTATAGACTGAGGCTGGGAGTCAGGGCCAAAGCCACGAGAGTTTAACCTGGGTCTCCTGAGTCCTGGTGTCTTAGCTGGAAAGTTGCTCTTTCCTCTACCAACACGCCTCAGCCTGGACAAGAGAGAGTCTTCCAATAATCCTTCCCCGAGTGTCTGAGGAAGAAGCCTGCAGCCCTTCAGTTTTGTGCCAATTCAGTGATGATAGTGGTTTTGGATGTCTGGGTACCTGTTTCCTAAGAATCAGAATGCCACTCACGATCCTTTGCTTCCCGTATGCTCCCCTCCAGCCCCATCTTTAAATAAGAATGAAAACCCACAGCCCAAAATACAAGCATCAGAGAGCCCTCTGGAAAGTTCACCCAGAGCCCACCTTGCCCTGGGCCTACCAGCCCAGAGATTTCAGTCTGCTGCTTTTACTAATAAGCCTTATTTTTAGATGGAGAGGAGAGGCGGCCTTTCATTTACCATTGCGCAACTGATTTTAGGTCCTCAGGTGGAAAAGGACCCATAATCTGCAGGGATCAGGGTATGAACCAGCAGATCCTCGCTGGGATTCTGCCAATGTGAACAACTTGCTGGTTCTGGAGAGAGGAGCCACATTTGGGAGCTGTGCTTTCAATGGCAGCCCCGATAACCACACGCTCACAGAGTGCTCCATTGCGACTACCAGCCGGCCACAGCCTCTGATAGGAGGTGGCTTTACTGCTCATTTCCAGGCAGAGGCCAAGTTCCTGCTACAGAACAGGAAGGAAGCCAAAGAAGTTGAAAAGGCGTTTAGCCCCGACACACCATCAGGAACAGTTGGGTTTCCACGAGTTATTTCTGAGGGCTTCTGGCCAACAACTGAGGCTGGGCCCCCTCCTGCACAAAACAAGATGTTTGCAGTGTATAAAGCCATCAGGACAGGCCCCGAGCAGCCTGCTCCCAGATGAGGTCTGATATGGCACCTCGGACAACAGTACCTTCACTGAAGCCCCAGGTGCAGTAGCCAGCAGCTGCGAGAGAGGACTGACACGTGGAGCTCAGCGCCAGAAGAGAGGCAGTGGGAACAGTGAGTGCCGATTAGCAAAGCACCGACTGGGGATCCTCCTGACCTGAGCAACTGGGGGTGGCCGCTCCACTGGAGCTCCCAGGCTGGGCCACAGCCCTCACGTTAGCATTCAGGGCTTGGGTTAGTGCACGGCTCCATTCTCCACCTTGCTCGCTGTGTCAGAGGCTCACGAGCCCGCCTGCTGTTCGATCTAAAATCAATCGCCAAGGTTTATCACATTGGGATTAAGCAACCTAAGTAAACAGGGCCCCTGCCTCACAATTAAGACTAGGAGGAAGACATTTGAGTGAACCCCCAGATGCAAGCTCCTCCTAGACTGGACCATAGGAAAGCAGGGCTGGAAGGGACCTCACAAGGTCATATCCAGCCCAGTCCCCTGCTCAGGGCAGGATCATCTCTGACTAAACCACCCCAGCCACGTATCTGTCCAACCTTCTCTTGAAAACTTCCAGCGATGGAGAATCCACTGCTCCGGGCAGCCTGCTCCAACGCTCGACCACCCTCGGCATAAAAAAGTTCTTCCTAATCTCCGACCTATGTTTCCTCTGTTGTGACTTGAGGCCATTGCTCCTAGTCCTAGTTCTGTCCCCACAGAGAAAGGCCCTTCTCCATCCTCCCTGCAACCACCCTTCAGGTATTTGCAGACTGTTATCAAATGCCCCTCAGTCTTCTCTTCTGCAGACTAAATGAAGAGCTGCCCCATCGCTACAAAGAGTGAACCTTTATCTGTGGACTGAGAGCAGGACCATTCGGCACGACTCAGCTCTGCCCCCAAGATGAAGGGAATTAACTGAGCAGTGCAAGACATTGCCACTGCCAGCCCCAGACCAGCTGAAAGAGCAAGATGCCAGGGTCAAGGATGTGCAGTAGGAGAAAGCCTGGGTCTCTCCGCAATGCAGCTGGACCTGAGACCTGCAAAAACAGATGTTCTATTGAAGCCAGAGCTATTCATCCAATAAACACCCCCCCCAAACCCTCTTAATTAACCCCTAAGATCTGTCATCTTTGCAGTGATTGAGTTCTGTGGAAGGTTCAATGGCACCTACTGATCATCGCAACCTACCATGCTGCTGAAGCAGGCCCTGGAGGTCATCTCTCCACCTCATTCCCTGCCTCCTCTTTTCTCAACTCTCGCTTGCAAGAACAAATGCCACTGCAGTCTAATGGCCGGCTACTCCTACTCCTTTGAGTAGCTGACACAAGCCAGTCTCCTGCATGAAATCTGCATCCTTGGAAACACCTGGCATTCAGTCTGCAGAGAGGACAAATGCCCAGTGCAGCTGTTCAGCGGGAGAAACTGCTCTTCTACCTGGTCAGCTACAGAAGTCGACTGGCAGCGCAAGTCCAGGGACAGATTTTTTTCCTCCTAGAACCATCCTGCCCACAACTCACGGTGGCTGCACCGGCTTCGGTCTGTCCGCAGAGTGGGACTGCTGTAGTAGCCAGATGGTCCAGGGAATATACAAAGCACAGAATTTTTTTGGTACTGTATCTTTTGGTGGGCAACTATATGGTTGGGGAAATGACAAGCATGCCCTTCCCTCAAGTCACTTGCTGATGAGGCAGCAGGTTGCTGCTCTCAGCAACAATTTGGGTTCTTAAAACGATCCTGAATGTCCAGCCAGAAAAGTCCGGCTCAGGTTGGGTCACTTGAGTCATGCAAATCCCACAGAGCCTGACTGCCAGAAAAGCAAATGCCTGCTCCTTTTCATCTCCCAGAGCTCAGCTGAGGCAAGGGGATGAAAAAGAGGAGCTCAGTCACAATTCAGAATGGGAGGCAAAGATCAACATTATAATCCCCCCGCCCTGCTGTGTGCTGAATCTAGGAGATGAAAGGGATTGACTGAAAGCTGCAGAGGCAGATAAGTGCCTTTGTTCTCAGGAGAGGAGTGTGCACGGGCGATGCCTCGCTTCACGTGGAACAGAGCTAAGCCAAGGTGGCAGGGGCTGCTAGGAGGTGGCGATGAGAACAGCCTGAGTTAGCACAGTGGTTCTTGGATACTTTCATTCAGAGCTGGGCCCATCACAGCGCTCACTGCAAACTAAGGTCTCCTTGCTGCTTCCCCCAGTCTGGGCACAACCAGAGCGCACTCTGGTCTTGAGAAACGAGTCTAAGACTGGGAAGGGGGAAGTCTTGGACTCTAACGTTAGACTCGGTTTGGCCTGGGGCCAGTCACTTGGGTGTCCAACTCCTCCTCCTCACCTGTGAAATGCAGGGGACACGACCAACTCACCCACCTACTCATCTCCAGGGAGCGCCGTGAGAAGCAGTCCGTGTCTGTGAGTGCTCTGAACACAAATGAGCTGAGAACTGGCTTCACACCAAATATCAAAAGCTTCTCTGAGATCTGCATCATCTACGCATATGGAACATGCTTCCCGGCCAGCTCCCAAGCCACCATCCTGCATTCAAGCGCCCCCAGAGACTTACTGTTTCCACAGGCCCATAAGAAAATAGTCAAGCGAAATGTTAACAGAACTCCCCTTCTTCCCAGCATGGCCCATCTTTTCTGCTCTTCTCAGACTGGAACCTCGGACATTGTATTTTGGTCTGGTGTAGTCCTGCATGTCTAAGCACCTGTGGTTCACCTTGGAGCTTGTGTCTGATATCCTACTGAATTCAGTGGTATCTGACTGAGCCCATAGTCTCTCACTTATTTCTGGCTCTGACACTGAAGTGCAAATTCTGCCCTCCAAGAAGCTGATGACTCAGAGCAACTTGGCAGAGGTGGAAATGGGGGTGTCAGAACCTGGTTCTCTCCCTAAATCCATCCAGCACAGACCTTATCCCTCCCCTGCAAGAACCCTCTCCAAAGGTTTGTCTAACAGCCCAGCCTCAAATGTCAACTGATGAGGCTTCTTCCATCAGGATCGCAACAGATCACGAAAAGGAAAGCAACAAATGTGATAACATCCAGGCTGCAAGAACAACCGTATCCTTGAGTGTCAGACCTCTCTGGCTGATGAATAACCAGCTTGAAGATGACTGCCGTGGTCACTCGCTGAATGGCGATAGCAGAGGACCTCCTAGTCTACAAAGAAAAAAGCGAGATGCCAAGGAACTCCTACCACACGGCCTCCATCTTTGGAGTGAAAGCCCAGCTGGTAGCAATCATGCAGGGAACTCGTGGGACGTGGCAGCAAATGCCAGGATCAGATGAGAGCGCTAGCCAGAACCGAGGAACCATCGTGTGTGCTTTCACCTTCGAAGGAGATCAGCTCAACAGCAAAAGTTTGCAAACAGGCAGAAGGAAGTGCCTGTGAGGGCTGAGGACAGCTGGGGCTGGGAAGAATGCGAGAGGGGCCCTTTCGGAGGGATGCAGTGACAAAGCACAGTCCCCCTGGGATCTGCTGAAGGCACTGCCTCCCGGCTGCACAC